GGCCTTGCGTCGTCAACCAACCCGCGATGCCGCGCCCCGCCCGAGCGGGGATTTGCAACTTCTCGCAGCACTCCTCATGTCGCGCTCACACATTGGCATGCCCAAAACAATGGGCTAACGCCTGAGGAAATTGCCGCGCGACCTCGATGATCAAGGCAGACCTCAGATGGGCCAAAACCGACGCGCGGGAACGCTTAGTGGTCACCACTGGCGACTTCAACGTTGGGGGGGCCATGGGCCGCGAGGATTTCATGGCGGCCCAGGCGGAGAGCCCAGCATTCTGGCGCCGCCCGTGCGAGAAGCAGTGGGCGGGCGCGCGGTGGCGCCCGCGACGAAGCTCACGGCTGACCTCCCGACCCGCCGGCACCCCGGCACGCGGCGCGCCACGGTCATCGACATGCTGCCCCTCGGCGTGCCGAAGTGGGCGCTCTGCCAGGGGTGGCAGTCGACCTCCATCTTGGGTGAGCCCCAGGAGGATTTCGCCCAGGAAATCAAAGATCACAGCCAGCTCATGATTGAACTGGCGGGCTGGCGTCCGACGCCGCGGGACGTTGGCCACCCGGCGCCGACTGCGCCTGTGGCGTGCCAGCGTGCGAGGTTCAAGGAATCATGCGCAGGCTTGCGTCAATGCGCTCCCGCCGCAGGACACGACGCCTCCGATGCGCACTGTTGCCATGCATGCGGCAGCGAAGGACACTCAGAAGTTTCTCCTCCGCAACCGCGGCCGCTCCCAAGAGTGTCCGGCGATGATCTTTCGACAGATGGGCCGCTCCGTTAATCGCGAGTGGCGCTGGCTGGCCACCGCGCTGATGGCCGGCCATCATTGGGCGAGAGACTTCATCTCGATGGCGGAGGGCCAGGTCCGCATCGTCGACCACGCCAACTGCCAGATGGAGTTCGACCTCGCCCAACAGCGGGCGGGCGCTCGCCGCCGCGGAACGCTTGGGCGCTCCGAGGCGACCGAGACCAACGCTGAGTTGCGAAAGCGGGTTCAGGGCCAGAAGCGGGCCCATCGGCGTCGAGCTAGGCCGCGGACCTTCACCGGGCCTCGCAATCACCTCGATCAATGGGATCGCGAAGGAGGACGGGGGGGGGCGGTAACCCTTGAGGAGACCAAAGCGGGCCTGGCGTCCTTCCAGGGCTTGGTTATCTGCCCGGCGGAGCCCCTGGCTTCTCAGCGCAGAGTGGCGCCGCGTGGAAAGAATGTATCGAAGCTCGCCCTGCCCAGGGCGCCGTGGGACCAGTGGGGGCCCCCGAATTCCCCGGACTTGCGCCGTGTTCTTCGAGTTGCCAGGGTTGCGATGCCTGGGCCTGACGGTATCCCCGCTTGCGCGTGGCTTCACAATGAGGCTGAACCGTACTTTCTCAAAGCCTCTCTGGACTGGATGGCGTCGGGGGCCCATGAGATCGGACTTCAATGATTCCATAGGCGCGCATCCCCCGAAGGGCGAGCTGCCGACGGATGGTGAAGGCGCAGCGCGGGAAGCCGGCAAAACTCGCCCCCTAGCTCAGCGCAACACTGGTGCGAAGGCGATCTCGGTGGCGATGAACGCGAAACTGAAGCGAGGTGTAGCGCACTGTGTTGCCCGCTACCAGCGAGGCTTCATCATCGGCCGTAGTTATTAAGCAGCTCAGTTGAATTAGACTATCGTGCTCGGCTGGGGGGACGGCTACCTACCTCGCCCTCACATTTCCCCCTCCTCCGTGCGTCTGACTATGCGCAAGCCTTCTTTTCGGTCGAACATGCGAAACTGTGGCACGTCCTGACCGCATAGCGGGTCCCTTCGGGCATGCTTGACGCCTTCCAGCAGACCTGCAGTGGTGCCCGGTCGCTGAGCTCTGACGCCTCCCGCTCCCCCCAGTACTTCATCCTATCGGGAGTCCTAGAGGGGGGCCCAGCCTCATGCTTGATGCGGTGAGCCATCCATTCGCAGCGGATTTGGGGGCGTCGCTCGAGCACCGCCGCCGCGGCTGTGCGTGCTGGTGCGCCGATGACAATTAATCGGTGGTGGGGGGGAGGCGGGTCTTCGGCAACTTGCGAGGACGTTCCGCATGTCGAAATGGCTCGCAGGTTTAGCGCTGCACCCTCAAAAATAATGTTGCTGCCCCAGGCCTTCTCTGAGGCAGTGCAAGCAGCAACCCGTCTGTTATTGTACAGCGTTGGGTCTTCTTGGGCACTCTTGCAGATCGGGAGCCAGTTTGTGTACGTATGGGTGGAGCTTGGGCCCAGCGTGACTCCAGCTAACCAGTGGTCGGGCGTGCTCGACAGATGGAGGGCCCGCACCCGGGACATAGCCCGGTCGGCTGCGGATCAATCCATTGCAGTCATCCTCTACTTCGAGCGATCTACCAGTGCGTTTAAGTACAGAGCTAAATTTTGTCCGTCTTCCCCCCTTCCTCCACCGCGGTGAGCTTTATAATTTCCTGCGTCTTTTTAGGCGCCGGGCAGCTGGATTCCGCTA